AAATATAAATATGGAGATTTTGTTTTCAAGTGACTTTTTGACGGTTATTGCCAGTGGAAAGATAAATGCCATGTATCTAATTTGAATCAAATTGTATCTTGTATTAAGTATTAATTTGTACGCCTATTGTTTAAATTGCATATCAAATGTATACGCTAATTCGAAAACTAATTAGTACTGCACTACCATATAAAAAATAGTGTTCTATTTTCTCTATGGTACTACTTAATGTATTACAGTTTGCTATCAATTTTAGACAGAATATTTCCAGCGCGTAAAGCTGGTTTTCCACTAAGCGAATTTATTCGCGCGAATCAAAGCGTCAGTTCGCTTCCTGAGTTCTGATTGGTTGCGCATTTTTTCGCTAGTAAAAACTCTGATAGAAATATAAATGCGCATGTGCATGAGCCGGCGCTTTCCATTCGTGCGAATACATTCGCCAAATGGAAAACAGGCTTAAAGAAGTAATTCAAACAGAACTCAAGTTAGGCCTACACCGTTGCACATTGAAAAGTTTAAGGTTTTGAAACTGTTAATTCAATTATAGTAACGTCACACCGTATGAATCTTAATACAAGAAGTCAAGAGGTTTATGTATTTAGTACTTTTATCGCCCGTAATTTGTAAATTCTAACACTGCAAAATATACACAGCAAACACAAAATGTTCTTAATAAAGTTTCAATTCAATTAACATTTATTGCATTAAGTAAACTCTGATGATGTATAAATAATAATATAAATGCCATATTTTTGTCCAAATTTTACAAAATATGTATCTTTTAAAAATGCATTACACCGTTTAGGCCTATACAATAAACATTTAAAAACATATTGCAGTTGAACATCCATGAGCGACCACTTTTCAGAAGTCTGTTCAGTTTCGCTTTTTACTATTTTTTTAGTTTCAGCAACTATCTATTATGCATATCACTTACGCTGATGAAGACCACATGAGTGGACGAAATATGCGTGTTAAATAAAATATGTTCCAAAAATACGTCAACTTAACTTTTGTTTTTATTGTCATAGCCTTCACCACTATATTAATTATGGAACAACGTGCATAGGCATATATATATATTTCAATTCATGTTCTTCAAGTCAACTATTGATTGAACACTGTATTTACCTTATATATGTATATATATAGGCCTATAGATACAAAGGTCAATATGGACATTTCCGATTATTTTTTATCTAAACTAATTTAAATTTAAATAATATTTTGAGCAATTTGACACAAAAACCAACTCACTGCAACCAATATATAAGAACCATATTGCCAACATCGGCATTTAAAGTCATTTTTTGACTAAATGTTCAATCAGAGCATGATTACAGCAAAGAAACATGAACGTTAAAAAGGCTGGTACCTCTTTACCGCCAGGGGCTGAGGAGATACAAGGGTTTGACGTTTGGCAGTGGCGTCACGCTCGTGCGCTGAGGGGGCGTGGAGCGCCAGGGCCCCCAGGTACGAGGAGCCCAGATATTGTAGATAAACAAATTGACATCATGGATCTTTAACAAAGAGCTCTGCTTCAACTTAAAATGTTCAGATACTTTTTTTCAGGTGTCTTTTTCATAATTAGGCCTACAGTATTATCATGTAATTTTGCATTTATTTTGTTATGATATCTCATGTATTTTTTAGATGATAAATCTGATAATTGTCAGCAAAAAATAATTATATTGTTTCCCTTTTTCGATCAGATCAGATCAAACTAGCTGCATCAATATCATCAAGAACACACTGCCAGCTGCCACGCGCACGGCTTATATCAGTGGGATATGTTCGATCGTGGACGGCAGAAATATGCATTCTCATGAAAAAATCGAGGGATGCCCCGGACACAAACCCCCACCCCAGGGGAGAGGTTTTTTGGAATAAAAGTCTTCGCCTGCAAATTTGTCGAACTTGGCATGTATGAAGGCCGCCCACAGTCAGCGCCAGGGCCCCACAAACTCCGTGACGCCACTGAAGTTTGGCCCTGAAATTTTGACCTTTCGCCAGATCTTAAAAATCTGTTGGTGTTAGTTTAAAAAATGATTGTTTGACCACTCTACCAATTTCTGAAATCATATTCTCTGGACCTCAAAGTGCATATGAAACTTTGTCTGGCTATAGGGTATTGTGTATGTCGACTATTCTTTATACATTTGGTGGTATTAGAATATTTATACATACAGTATTATGGTATGTTGACAGAGTTTTTCCAAATAGCGGAAATGACTTTTACACACGCTTTATCATCATTACTGAGCTACTTAACTGTTGCATTTCTTCATTAATATTACACTTGAAACTCGAAGTATATAAACCGTTTATAAAGCATGAATAACTACATGTTTTAAACCACCACCCGCCACCACCTTCTAAAGCGCAGTTGTTTTTTATATTTAAACGATTGTTCATGTCGTAGGTTGAGAATTTTGCCATTTTTTCTTCATACATTACTGGACCTATGGTTTAAGAAGTAAAAGTAAAAAAAATAATTAAAAAATATGTAATTATGGTTGTGTAAACCCAGCTAATCTAACCTACATTCCAGATTATAATCTGATCGTGTTTCAATATTCAAATATTTTCTGCTTCTTGCACTTAGGTTTTTACAAATACTTCTTTTTTACCAAAAAATGCAAATGTTGGGTTTACTCAGGTCAAGTGTCTGTGTATTTACTGTAATAACCGACCTATATTTTTAAACCATATACATGTTACTCGGCTGGCCAGTCATGTGGTCAAGCAGAAAATACAGGCGCCAATTAACAACTTTACAGTCTCTGTTTTCGGTAGTCTTTGTTTGGAGCGTATCTGCGCTCTTACCATCATCATCATCATCATCATCATCATCAACAAAATTTCGATTTCACAGTGTTTTATCTATTTTGTTTTTTCTTCTAAACATAATTACCACCAAAAACGGAAAGACAAAGGACGTCAAAATATAGTAAAAATAATACTTACCACCATCGTCATTTATGATCTCTCCAAGTTTCAACTTATAATTTTTACTCTCTTGTAGAATGCGAAATGAATCATAAGTGGATGAGAAAACCTCTCCCGTTTTTGTTTCGATATTTATGCGGAAATGGAAGTCCCCGCCGGACGTGAGCTTGTGCATAAAGTCGAGCCCCATCCAGAAGTCACCGCGTAAGTGACCAAAGCCCTGTTGGTATTCAGCCCATGTTCTGTTAAAATTAAAGGTGCTATTTTGTCGTCTCTGCAACACCTAAAATGGAAACTTTAGATGTTATAAATATTATAAATAATAAACTGCAACAATCTGAAACATAGGTACATTTACTTGACAATCATACAAAATGATTTTAATTATTTCAATTTAAATAAACCTTTCCGCTAAGTCACGCCCCTTGGATATTGTTAGTCCCACAAAACGACAGTGGCTACGTTCAGACTTGGAGATAAGCCAGGGTTGAGTTAAGCCCGGCTCAACGTTAAGCCCGGCTTAACTTTGCCGGGCGTTCAGACTAGAGAGATTCGCCAGGCCCGAGAATTAGCATAATGAACCGTAACCAGAAAACGAGTTTGGGAACATTGGGCTCGAAACGTACGCTCGCTCACAGCGTACGTAATTGAATGCTGATAGGTCATTTTTTTACCGGAAGTCGGTGCAAGCCCCCCCCCCCCTACCCCGCAGCCGCAGCGATTAAAGCCCAGCTTAGAAAAGTTAAACACGGTGGCACGCCAGGCCTAGTTACTATAGGAACACAGCCCGGCTTGAGATAAGCATGGATAAGCCACCTAGTTCAGACTGGCAGGTGGATAAACCCGGTGAGTTGAGCCGGGTTTATCCACCTAGTCTGAACTAGGCCAGAGTTAAACATTACGCAGCCACGTGCGTTTGTGCGACAACATGTGTTTTTGCGACAACATGTGTTTCTTAGACACGCGTGTATTCCTGGCCCTGTTCTGATTGGTCAGTTGTTAAGTTTGATTGACACTACGGAAAGGTCCATTGTCTCTATGTTTTCATTTCTTAACTATTATTCTTATGTAGGGCTTGTTGCTGTTGTTGTTGCTGTTGCTGTTGTTAATGATAACAATGTATTATTATTATTATTATTATTATTATTATTATTATTATTATTATTAATTATAATATTATAATTATTATTATTAATATTAATATTCAATAATAATATTATATTATTTTTATCATTAAATTATTAATATTATTATAATTATTATTTATATTATTATTATTATTATTATTAGGCTATTATTATTATTATTATTATAATCATTCATATTGTTATTATCATGAGTGGATTTCCCGTACGATTAAAAATCATAACGGTACTGGGTTTGGTCTACAGGAGTTCGTGCTTCGAACAGGTCATTCCATTCATAGAAGAAGCTTTTTGATGGAGAAAGTGTACCTATTAGCAAAGGTTTTGCCCAGATAGAAACTAACTCCGGCTATATAAAATTGATTACAGTATAAGATTGAAAAATATTAATCTTATTATTGTTGTAGTGATAGATACTATGCACACGTTTAAATTATTGTTATTTATTTGTTATGTCATTATACAGTATTTATAATTAAACTTAATGTATTGTTTAGGTATGAATTACTATATCCATGTAAAATTAATCTTATCAATTGAAATTGTATATTTTAAATAATATAGTAGGCATAGCCGAGGTCTAGCCTAGGCTAGGTCTAAACGAGTGATTATATAATGTGAGCGTATAACATTATGGAAAATATGAATAAAACGTAAAATTGTGAAAGAATAAAGGAAGAAAGAAGAAAAGGAAAGATATTTAGAGCGGCTGAAATTATCTCCGAAAAATAGTAGTCAATATGCTATTATTGCATTACGTTTTTGTAAACAATTTTGGGCACTAATCATCAGAGGTCTTGGTGCCACAGCCTACACTTTTCATAATTCGAAATCGAATCGGACCTTAAGTGATTTCCAAAATCTCTTTATATGAAATAAAGAGTAATTAATGTTTAGAAAAACAAACTAAAACAAATGTCTTACCTGGAAGTACGTATAAATGTACATTATGATCGTATGAACATAATCATGTCTAGTGCATCGCTCTGTATGTGTAGGCCATTGTTAAACATTACGCAGCCACGTGCGTTTGTGCGACAACATGTGTTTGTTAGACATGCGCGTATTCCTGGCCCTGTTCTGATTGGTCAGTTGTTTGATTGACACTACGGAAAGGTCCATTGTCTCTATTTTATTATTCTTAACTATTATTCTTATGTAGGTCTTGTTGCTGTTGTTGTTGTTGCTGCTGCTGCTGTTGTTAATGATAACAATACTATTATTATTATTATTATTATTATTATTTATTATTATTATTATTAATTATAATATTATTATTAATATTAATATTCAATAATAATATTATATTATTTTTAAATTTATTTATTATTAATTTAAATTATTATTATTATTATGATTATTATTTATATTATTATTATTAAGCTATTATTATTATTATAATCATTCATATTATTATTACTATTATGATTTATACACATCTTTTTAGACTTACCTATGTCAAAACACCAAAAATGTTTAACATGTACAAAGCGAAGTCACATAAATAATACTTACGGTCCAACCTTCGTTATCATCTATTTCGCACATCGCAAGAAACGTTTCCTTTCCGGTAGTCAAGGCATAAATGCCAGATTTTGATCGCGGCAGTCCCTTTGGAATTTGACTGCAGTCAGTAAACTGAAAGTAAATCAACACATAACATTTGATATTTGATTAATACACACACACACACACACACACACACTCACACACACACACACACCTGTCTCTTATACACATCTAGATGTGTATAAGAGACAGTAATTCACCTCCATGTGGTGCATCCTGGAAACTAGCTCCTTGCGGTCCTGGGCTAACGAAGCTCCGGCTAAGGGAAGGAAACCCTCGAAAAGATAACCTACTGCGGCGAGCTAGCAACCATCCTGTTACGAAAACTGTAGATGAAAGGACCACTTTGAGGAAGTATTGAATAGACCAATCTCAGACAACCCTTTAACAGAAGACTTATTAGCTAACGATGACAAAATTGACAACATTAGTACTGAACACATTTCTAAAGCAGACGGGAATAAAAAAGCCTGGAGGAAAGGATGAGATTATAGCTAAACTATTAAAGGTACAACTGTTGACTGGCTTGCTGACCTGTTTGCAACAATATGGGATTAAGAGACAGTACCTAAAGAATGGAAACAAGGACTCATCAATCATCAATTGCCAAAGAAATGTGATTTGAAAGAGTGCGGAAATTGGCGTGGTATAACAT